TTCTATCATCAAAGCTTTTTAGGGTGAGAAATGTAGTGAAAAATCTTGTAATTGCCAGACGTGTCAGTTCCATGTTGTTCGAAAACTCTCTAAATTTACTAAGTACCCAACTATGCCTATAAATAAAAAGTGTAACTTCTTTGGCTTTTGAAATGGTGTCACGAAAAATTGGCAAATCACCAATATCACTCAACAATAAATCAATGCAATGAGCAGAACAAGGAGACCAAAATAACTTCTTCCTCTTGTCCTCCAACAACCTACTGGTGGCTACATAAGCCGAAGCACTATCCGTCACAACTTGAACCAGATTCTCCTCTCCAATCTCCTCAACAATTGAGTCAAGTAACTCAAACAACTTATTAGCATCCTTTATAACCCCGAAAGTATCCACGAATTTAAGAAACACCGTTCCACTAGGGCTATTAACAAGAAAGTTTGTGAGTGAACCTTGTTTCTCATCGGTCCACCCATCCGACATCAAAGTATACCCACTTTTCTTCCATTCCATTCTATATTTATCCAAACTCAACTTCACATTTTCCACATCTTTCTTCAAACAAGTAACTCTAACCTCATGATAGCTAGGGAGTTTTAATCCCTTGTCATACTCACCAACCGATTTCATCATTTTATCAAACAATGGACTTTTAACTAAATTGAAAGCTAGTGCATGTCCATAGAAGAAACGACATATGTCTTGAACCACCGGTTCTCTTTTTTTCACTAATTCATTTAATGTTTATTGTCTTCCTCTAGCACATTTCCCCTTGCCTTTGATCACAAAAGCATCCATGGTTTGGGTCCCCCTTTCAACATCCTCTATGCAACATTCATTAGGATCCTCATTTTTTCCTTTCGCACCTTCCAACATTTGGGAGAATTTTTCTATAACATCCGGTGGACATTGGGTACAAGGTGCTACATCAAGACGAGTCCCCACAAAATGATGTTTCATTCTACTCACATCACCCCATTTGTCAAGGCCATAATAATTACACTTCAAATGCATTCTATTATCACCCACACGAGAAAAATGATCACATGTTGGATCTTCATTCTTTTTCTGCTTCGTTTTTATATTCTTTTTTACCATTTTCAACTTCAAGTCTTCAACAACAACAACAACTGAAAAGAGAAAAAAAACAATAGAACATATAATTTAGAACATATAGTTATTACAATTTACAAGAAGCAAATAATAGAAAATTATAGAATTTTCCATGGACATCAAACCAACAACATTACAGAACATCAAACCAGCAAGCAACAACTTTTCCATGGACAGCCACAAACACATAAAACAAATCAACACTCCATGGACAGCCACAAACACCCAAAATAACTCAATACTCCATGGATAACTACAAACACCTAAAACAACCAAGACCATGGAATCATACTGACTCAACAACGAAAAAACAAAAGAAAATAAGAAATTACAGTAAAACATTGAAAAAATAGAGCATTGATAAAGTGACAATCAAAGCATCATTTGAAGTTTGAAACCCACATTCATATTGTTTATATACAGAAACCCTAATTCATAACGTCAAAATCCTCCCCCTACCGGCCACAACAATGAAAAAAAAATAGAAATTAAGAAACTAAAAAGCTACAACAATAAAAAAACAGAGCATAGCTTTTATAAAAACAGAGCAAAACTTGAAGAAGACGTAAGGCCTACTTAAGGCTGTCACTGTTTGGTTGCGGGTAAGAAGAAGAAGAAAGGGCAGAGACATACCTCAGAGTTGATGAAGCTTCAGCGTGGTGTGGTGGTCTTCTTCAACAGAAAATGATCTTCGGCAAAGCAAGAAAGAGACAAAGTTTTGTATCTTATTTATTAGGGCTAGGGTCCTTGCAAAAACCGACGTCATTTGATTGCCCAAGCAGTCAAAACGACGTCATTTTGACGTCTATGTTGGTTTAAAAAAAAAAAGAACGAATCGTATGATACATCAAGTTCGGTTTGGTTCGTACGATTCGTGTGATTCACTTCCGATTCCAGACCCAAATCAATTCAACCATAAGATTCGAATCGCCCACCCCATAAGTCGAACTGAATCGTACAATTCGACTCATAAATCGGACGATTTTAACAACTATGACGGTGGTGGTCGGGGGATAGGGGTAATGGTGGTGGTGGTCAGGTGGCGGCAGTAGTCATGGCGACGGTGGTGATAGTAAGGGGTAGTGGTGGTTGTTGTAACAAATGTGGTGGTGGGGTGACGACAGTGGCAACGGTGGGGTGGAGGTGACGGTGGTGGTGGGGTGGTGGGGCGGCGATAGTGGTGGGGTGGCGATGACGGTTGTGGTGGTGGGTGTAATGGGAATGGTGGTAGTTGGGCAGTTGTGGTGGTGGTGGTGGTGGGGTGGCAACGGTGGTGATGGTATGGGTGGTATGGTGACGACAGCGATGATGATGGTAAGGAGCGGAGGGTGATGTTAGTGGTGATAATGGTGGTGAGGCGGTGGGTGGGGTTATGGTGGTGGGGTGGTGACAATGGTAGTGGTGGTGGGGTGGCGACAGTGGAGGTGATAGTGGTAGTGGTGATGATGGTGAGGGGATAGTTTGGTGGTGGGGTGGGGTGGTAGTGGTGGTAATGGTAATGGTGGTGGAGGGGGGGGTTAGTGGTGATGATGGTAGTGGTGGTGGTGGGGTAATTCCAAACACTACTTTTTTATTTAAAGTATTTATGAAAAATTATAAATATTAAAATATTTTTAAAAAATCACCTCAAACATATCCTTAGAGACCTATTTTCCTTATTAAATTTGGAGTGTTAATATTAGCCGTCAGATTAACTTTAAAATAAAATTGAATAAGATCTCAATCACGAATAGCAAAAATTATTTTGTTTATCTTTTAAAATTTAAATTATATTGTACTTTATTATATAGATAATATACATAATAGCCTTGTCATGGCTAGAAGGGAAAAAAAATTTCTTGTGAGTGTGCTTGATCTCCTAGTCAACTACCAGGTGTGAATTGCGTGAATTAAATAGATATCACTCCATAAGGAAGGCCGGCTGGAAGTTGAGGGAAGGCAAATTCTAAGTAGGACTAATAATTGAATTAAATTATTTGGACTTGATTTGTTTTGAACTCGATATGAGTTCGATTCGTCTTCTAAACGAGTAAAATTTACATAATTTTTTAAATTAATTTAAAAAAACGAGTTTAAAAAGACTCGACTCGAACTTGTAAAACTCGATTCATTTATTTGTAAAATAATCGAACTAACTCGGCTCGTTTAGAAAACTCATTGGAGTTAAACAAGGACCGGTGCTTATGGAAACTATTTTTTGGGATATTCTTTTGGCAGTAACCTTACCATCCTTGTTTTCCTTTACCACGGTTGGCCATCTTTTTTATTCTACATTAAAATTCTTCATCAACCAAGAATCAATTCCACCAACTTTTATATATACATTATTACGTCTGAATAATTATTTTATACTCTCTTGTATTTTTGGATAATTTCGATTCGAATTAGGTTTATCTCTATCTTTCAGTAGTGCGTGATCATTGAGGAGGTGCTACTGCAAGTGTTTGGATATGATCTTAGAGTCACTAATGTCCGTTAACACCCTCACGCGGAGAGACCCAACTGTTTTAAGACAATATTCACACGACTCTCGGATTCATACGTTAGTTCTTTTTGATTTATAGTCTTTATTTTATTCTATTCTAAATTAGTTGTTATTTAATATTTGTTTGCATATTTTTTTGTTGTTTATGATCTTGATATTAATTTGGTAATTAAAATAATGTATAATTATGCTAATTTCTGTTGGAACAACCAAGAAGAAGACAAGGGAAAGAAGGGGAGGTGAGCTTACAGTTGACAACTTGTAAGTGTCAATTTTTATTCTTTTTTGGTAAATTTGGTGGTGTTTATTAGCTTAACTTAATTCCCAACCTATTTGAATAAACCAATGTTAATGGCATAATTACTTGTTAATCTTGATCTTAACTTGATTAAACTTGCATCTAGTAAAGTTAGTTTGGATAAGATATATAGACACTTTTTTTTTGTTGTTGATAAAAAAAGGGGCGAAGATAAATAAGAGTGCCCAGAAACTACCGCGATAGGCCCTCATCGGTGAGATCATGAGGCCCCTTAATGCATCCGTTATTTTTCTCGGAAACGAACCTAATTCGGCTAGTACCCCACCACCTCACTCGGTGGTAGGTACATAGAGACTTGATTACCAATAGATTGGGAATTAATTTATAAGATCAAAACAACAAAGTTGATTGGTGTAGTATGAGTCTTTTGTTTAGTGTTTTGTTTTTTATTAAAGCTGGAAATTAATGGTGCCAATGCCAAATAGCTGAAGAATTAATGAGCATTACTCTCTTGCAAAACAGTGTTGAAGAATAATCACCAAACCCAACTCCTATAGTTCCAGGCTATTAAAGTCAATTTACCATCCCAACTCTGACTTCTTGAAGTCCCCAAAAGGGTCTAGGCCCTTTTATTTTTACTATCAGAAAACAATTACAACACTTCTGGTTAAAAGTAAAAGTGGCATAGTGTCCATATAACCCACACACATCCTAAGGCTAGCCTGGGTATGGGGTTATCACGTAGCAAAGAAGATACTGGAGGCTAGATCTATTGGTCAGGGGGAATCATCAAGCAGACCAAACCCGAAGGTTTGGAAACTGATTTGGAAGCTGAAAATTACTCCCAAAGTGCGTCATTTCTGGTGGAGAGCATGTTCCAATGCGTTGGCGACGTATAGATGTAAGTGTGCGACCTCGCCAACATGTAAAAGAGGAACTGAGACAGTGGAACTTATGTTTTTGGGCTGCAGATGGACTCATAGTGTTTGGTTGGGTATGGAGCAACAAATTCCATCTCTAACGTAATGGTACACTCAACTGTTGGATTTACTGGTAAGCCCAGAACACTGCCTCCTTCTTCTAAGTAAGATAACCACAACTGCGTGGAGCATATGAAAATCATTGAAGACAAAGAACCCAACCCAATGTCGGTGTTGCGGATCTCGAAACAACCATGGGGGCAATTCGGTTCTATCAAACAGTCGGAGCATTATGGTATGCGTGTCAACCTCTCCTCACCCAGGGCCGGCCCAATTAAAACTGGGCCTAAGTGAAAGTGTTAAATGGGGCTTACCAAAATTTATCAAAACAAAATATATTGTATGATTAAAATTTTATTTATAATTTATTTTTTTATTTTTTGTGATGCAAAATTAGTAATAAATTTTTATATTTGAGTTTTGCTAGTATATCTTTTTCAATGGATAATATGATTAATTCATTCGATCTTTCTTGTTCTATAGTTGATAATAAGTAAAATTTTATGAGTTTTAATTTTTTTAAAAACTTGACATATTTCAAACTAAAAATTATTTTGAATAAAATATATTTTAAAATAATAAATAATTATACTAAGAGAACAATATAATATCTTATAAAAGTCAATAAAAATTAAATAATACCACCTGATAAATAAAAATTATATTAGCTTTGAATTGACGACTTGTTTGCCTTTCAAATCATTTATTATTTTAGACTTTTACAATAAAAAAGAATAATTACATTAAATTAATCCTATCAATAAAAATATTAAAAAATTAAATTACTAATCAAACAAATATGTACTTTTTCAATTTAATCTAAGTTGTAAGAGAGAGATACAATATAAACTTTTTTTGCTTGAAGAGAGAGAGAGAGGGGACGAGGAGGGCAGACAATAGACTTTTATGATTTAATTGTGAAAATTTAATTTTTGCTTTTTTGAGAATTTTCAAGTCTTCTAACTGTTGGAAAAAGTGAGAGAGATGTGAATTGGGTCTTTTTTTTTTTTATTTGGGTCTTTGTTTTAGTATATAGGCCTTGAAAGAATTTCCATTAGATTGGACCTTTAAATCAAAATTTTTTAGACAAATTTAAATTACAGTTAAAGATTATACTTATTATTTGAGGACCCTCTTTTTTTTTAGGACTCTTTTAAGGCCCTAAACAATTGCTTAAGTGGTCTTTCAATTGAGCCGGCCCTGCTCCCACCAATAGTGTGAAGTTTAACTATGATGGCACATTTATAAAATCCAAAGAGGAGGCAGCAATAGGAGTGATATTGCGCGATTCCAATGGTAACTTACTGGAGGGGAAAGCACTGAAGATCCCAGCTACTTCCAGCCGCTGTACCGAAGCTGCCGCTGTGAGGGAAGCATTGCTGATGGTTATGAGTATGCAGCTGGAAAATGTCATAATCCAAGGGGATAACCCAGTGGCAATCACTCTTAAGTGCCAACAAGAATGACCCCTCATGGGAGATCTTAACCTTTATTGAGGATATCAGGTGTTGTGCTAGAAGGATGCATCTGCAGTTTGAGTATACACCCAGAAATCTGAACAAGGCAGAGCACTGGGTCGCCACGTCTAGATTAGCAAACTCAGTCTCTCTGTACTAGACGAGTTGCCAACCTCCTGGGTTAAAGGCAATTCTTCAGAATGAGTGTAATCNGATTAGCAAACTCAGTCTCTCTGTACTAGACGAGTTGCCAACCTCCTGGGTTAAAGGCAATTCTTCAGAATGAGTGTAATCGTTTACATTTCAATCAATGAATACATTCCACATTCTGTTACAAAAAAAAAAAAAAAAATTACGACATATGTATATGTGGAGCACACTATTATATGCATATGGTTTTTTGTTATTGAGTTATGATTAGGGGTGTTCATGGATCGGGTTGATCCATGAGACCTGTTACCTAACTCAAAAAAATAAGTTCAAAGATCGATAGGTCTGATTGTCCAGCCCGAAGACCCGTCTGCCATGTTAAGCCTTGCCCAACTCGCCCGCTCACCCACTTTGTTTTGACAAAAAATTTGTCAAATTAGGTAAGTAGGTGGCATATTTTATAATTTATTATAAGGTGGGATCATTTTTTGATTTTGTTAAAAATGCACATACACATTGGCACACGCTTTTTCTTTTTCTTTTTGAACAAACACAGCACATGCTTCAAGCACAAGAACAGCAGTCAAAAAATGACTATATTTTAAAATAAAGTTGTATATATAAAAGAAGAGGATTGAGCTTAAGCCTATTCAATAAGTGTCGGGTTGAGTTAGGGGTAGTCTATCAATACCTGAAATCCAACTTGACACATTCGATAACTCACACGATAAAAACTTGGACTTATCCTACCCATGCCCAACTGAAAAAAATTTGCTGGCGCATGTACACCCCTTGTCACGATATTCATTACCAAATGATGTTGTTGGTCAAGTAAGATAAATAATGGAGATAGGGGGCGGCTCAACAGTATTATTAAAAAGCTTAGGCTTTACGCCCTATTTTTTAAAAAAGTTTTCAAATTTTTAAATATCATAAATAGTTCATATAAAAAAATTAAATCTATAAATATTTTAAGCCTTACAAAAAAATATTATAAAAATACAACTCCAATCAAAAAAAAGTTAAGGCCTCACTTAAAGGAAGACCTATAATTTATATATGTATAGTCCAAATTTAAAATTTTAGTTTTAACTTTTAAAAAGTCATGTTTAAAATTACCATCATAATATTTCAATTATTCTTTCTCTCTCTTATTATTAAATTCAAATATGGTAACAAAAATTTGAATATAAAATTTTAATTAATATTTTTGTATTTAAAAAAATTAAAAATTAAACTTATTATTAATATTAAGAATAAAAATGTGTCATTTATTGTTTCTAATTTAGGTTCCAAAATATCTCGGGCCGCACGTGAATGGAGATGTTTTTTATTATGACACGTCAATATAGTACCAATTCAAAATGATCCGACATGTTAAGGTTAATTAATTCTCGACACAAACTTAAAACTGAGACAATCTACTAACACGAATAAAGAATGAATCATGCTAGTATCAATCACATATAATCCAATTTGACTTGAAAAATACACACGTATATTCTTATTTTTTTAACATTTATAAATTCTTGTAGAATTAAAGGACATTCAACTTAATTTTGCCAGCATATGGATGGATTGCACTTCTACCAAAGTACACCTGATGTACAATAAGAACATATTGAGCCATGTGGTACCAAAATTTATTTTACGACACCATACCAAAAAAATTGATTTTAGCTATCGATCTTCTTTTTCATTTAATTGTGACTGTTTACTGTAAAAATAACAAAGTAAAAAAAAAGAGTAAGGATTAAAAAAATCAGTTATACAGAGAGAGCCGTTTCCGAGGCTAGACTAAACTATCACAACATCCCACACGATGAACAATTGCATTGATTCGTTATATAAATGGGTGAATTGTACTTTATACTCTAATTTTTTTTTTAAATTCTCACTTTGTATCTTCAAAGATTAAAATTTTTATATTACACCCTCAATGTATCAAAAATATTACAATATTAACCTTCTGTTAGTTTTTCATTGATTTTTTCGTCTGTCAATAGATTGATTGTTAACAGAAAAAATAACAAAAACTAACAAAATGGTCATATTACAATACTTTTGATACATTGATGTTGCAACGTAAAAAAATTAATTTTTAAGGGTATAAAGTGCAATTCTTCCTATGTAAATTTCGTTTCACATTTGACTGGAATTCGTAAATAATCTATGAAGATTACTTATAATTCTATAGAAAGCCAATAGGCAGATGTCCTTGGAACACAACAAAAAGACAATCCACAAGTACTTGGGCGTATGAAAACTTAACTTTAACACAAAAAATAGATAAAAAACCATAAACATCTTGCCAACTTCTAGCATAACACGTTTGTTTACATGTCTTGCTTGCGCTCAAAAGCCAACTTTGATCACCCATTTTGTTTATCTTCCTCTTCAAAGCTATCATCTCCACATCTTCATAGAAAACTAGTTATAAACTTTTTCGAAGAGCTGGAGAATGACTAAATGATAAGCAAACAAGGCACCCAACTCCAACCACCGTCCATGTACGATCCATTACCACCTTTCCTTTTCTCCCAGTTAGTTGGGAGGTGTTACTTGGAAAAAAAGGGCCTTAGCACAGGAGATTTCACTTCAAATTAGATATGTCTTGCAGTGCCAGCACCCTATGAGTTGGGCAACGCTAGCTTTACCGAATCTCAAATGCCAGCAGTTATGTAATTGAATTCGAGAGAACCAAAACGAGTAAAAATATGATGAAGCGTTGACTCAAAGATGCTCAAAACTGTGAGTTACTCAGAAACGTGACCATGCATCGGACACTCTGGAATAATTTATCTACCCTTTGCCATATGGCTGATTGAATTTCTAGAAGCTTTTGTGCCTTATCCTGTAACTTTGACTGGCGCCGAATTGTTTCACCATGAATCTGGCCAGCACAAACGGGGATGTTACAAAACAATTAGAAAGCATAAGAAAATCTGCCACAAGTAATGATAGAAAGTGGCAAAAAACGAAACGGCAGTCCTATTTGTGCTCTTAAATTCTTTGTTACAAACCCCTGAAGCTTAAGCTTTGCGTGGATCTTGGGTTTTCAACTCTATATTTTTGACAAATGAAGAACACAGCTTTGTAAAATGCATATGGTATTCAAAAATAAAGAATTTCGTACCTTCAAGAACAACCTGATGACAGCCTGTATAAACTCAAAATTGTTTCTGCATGAAATCTCATGTATAAAATAGTCCAACAGCAGTTCAATATAATACAACTCAGCTCTCTTATCAGGTTCTTGCTCATCATCGTCATCTATAATCTGAAGCATTCTAAGTTCCATATCCAAAGTTGAAGAAGATAAATTCTTGATATATTCAGTGAATTGTGAAACTGCAAAACACAAAAAGCAAAATGCACAATGTAAATTAAACAGAACATTCAAGATAAACATTACAGAAAATCACACCACGCCACTACAGTCATCAACAACAAAAATCAAAATACAAACTGAAAGAGCATGTATGCTTACAATTTTTCATGTCCGCGGAGGTTTGAAGAAGTTGCATAAGTTGGGACACTGGCAAATTAGTTCTACTCCTGCTTTTCTCCAGTTGATCAGCTACTGCGTCCTTCTCCTCATTAGAAGATTCACTAGGTTTAAATGATATTTCTCCAGACAGAGATGGAATTGAAGGCAAGAAAAAAGGTGCCTTTTCTGGTTTTTTGGGAGGTTCTATTGGTTTGTTCCGGATCTTTATAATGTCTAAATTGATCAAGCTTTGCCACTGACTCTTAGGCAATAATGAAAGTGTCACTAGATCCGGGATTTGCTGATTTAAATATGGGGTGCGAGAAGTATCTTGGTATTGTGAGTGGTTTACGACCGGCTTGTCAGAATCTTCTTCTTGAGAACCTTCTCCTGAAGAGACTGATGGTAGCTTCATGCTCACAATTTCCTTCCCACTTCCATAGGAATCGACACTGGAAGATCCAGAAAACATTGCCTGATTTACCCAAAGGTAGACCCCATTTTGATCAACGTGAGTAGTTGCCAAGACATCCATATTGGGTGACAGAGATAATGCAGTTATACACACATTGACCTGTATGGCATCAATTTGTCTTGCTAAGATAACATCCCAAATTCTGAGACTCCCATCCATACTAGATGACAAAAGCCATTTGCCATCCTCACTGAAACACATATCAGTGATACGATCTGTATGACCTTCAAATTTACGTACCATTCTTAGGGCAACAACATCAAACAAACGGATAATTAAATCATCTGAAACAGTTGCAAGAAGACCATTGGAACGATGGTAAATGATCTTGACCACTGAACAACCTATTTCCCATCTGGATTTTAGCTCACGTCCCTTGAAATCCCAAACCTTTACATCCCCATGAAATCCTGCACTTATCATCAAGGTATTTGTTGAATCACAGGCAACTCCAACTACTTCTCCATCATGGCCACAGCTTTTTCTTTCTGAGATGTCCACATAACTTCCTCGGCTGATTCCTGATTGAAGATTAAAGCGCTCAATCCAACCACCAGCTGTCCCCAGAACAGCAAAATTGCCACATGCACTGATGGCGCATGCTTTAACTGGTGTTTGATTTTCTGGGCTTGGTGTTAGGATGTGTTCACCAAGAACAAAATTTTGAAGCCTCCATACATATGCTTGTGCAGTATCCATATGACATGTAACCACATTGCACCAATCACGCTCCCTAATTTCAGCAACATCAAATGCAATAACAGGCTTCAATTTTATCTCTTCTTCCTTCAGCCTAAGTTTTTTTGCTCTTTTGGACACATGACGCTGAGAAAGCTCTCGACTTTGCTGATCCTGGATGACAGAGAAAAGACGAAAAGCACGATCTTGGCCAGCTGATAGAATGTGTCTCCCATTGGCATAAAACTTTATGCAAAGAGGGGGAGCACTGTGCCCACTTCGAAAGCGTAGCAGACGAGGATCTCCATCACTTGTGTCAAAAATCCACATTTTCATAGAGTTGTCTACAGATGAACTCATTAGCACGGGCTCATTGGCAAAAAAGTGCAGTGCAGTTATAGAGCAATCATGGGCTTCTCTAATGATCGATTGAAGCCTCCTCTTATCAAGATTCCATATGCTTATGACACCAGATGAACCTCCAGATGCCAAAAGGGGTTGTCCGTCTGTGCTGAAAGATAAAGCAGTCACAGCACCTCGAGTAGAATGACTAAATGTAACTACCCCTTCATCGTAACGAATGTTGTGAACATGAATCTTTCCATCAGCACAGCCAACTGCAACAACATCAAGCGCCGGAGACGAAACACAACAACATATAGATGAATTCCAGCCTTTGAAGTCATAAAGTTTCTTCTTTGTGCTAATGTTCCAAAGTTGCAGAGAACCTTCCTGACTCCCAAGAATTACCTGTTCACAAGTTTCCTAATGAGAAACATTCCTAAAAGAAACATGTTAAGGAGCAAGTGACAAGCCAATAGTACAACTTATATTCTCGTCAAACCCTCCTTACAATTAAACCCAGTCAGATACCTTGTTTAGGTAAGTATCTGGATGCATTATACAGCTAGGACTGAAATTGTCTTCCAGCAAAATGTGTCCAATTGGAGCAAGATTCTGGTCAATTCCTTTGAAAGCCCATATGAAGATATTTCTTTCAACATCAACACTAAGGATATGTTCTCCAAATAAAAGCAACTGATTGACCTTAGCATTATGCCTGCTCCATGTTGCCACCTGTTTTAGGTATAAATATTATCCTTCAGGTCAATTTGCATGACATCGAGCCATACCATCATGTTAAGCTACAAAGACTAGCAAACACAAATCAAATTTGCTAATGAATTGAAAAAACAAGGTTAGTGAAGGTTTTGCTACATTTAATATTCTGGAAACAAAAGGACGAAATGGTGAAAGATGAACAGAATGTCAATCTATTTTTTGCTTCTATCTTCAACTAAACCAAAAATTTAATCAATCCCCCCCCCCCCCCCCAAAAAAAAAAAAAA